ATTTCCCCTCTATTACTTTTCTGGGGACAACTCAAAATTGGGGTTTTCTTTCACTTATAATGGGAAACAGGACAAATAGAGAGGGTGAATCTCCCTAATGGGGGCACAGACAGCAATAAAAACCTAATAGGTGTTCTAATCCCACTTCACTCCAAAACGAAAAAAAAAATTTTTGCCTTTAGTTATACTTTAAGGTAAAAAATGTTTAGGCTTTAGAACCACCTTTGATTGTTCAAAGAAGTTTCACCTAGTGAAATGTGTCCTCCTGCGACACTAAAGCTTGTTTTTTTTTTTTTTTTTTTTTAAAATAGCAAATATGTCTGTACTTACCTGCTCCGTGCAGTGATTTTGCACAGAACAGCCCCGATCCTCTTCTTTTTGGGTCCCCTCCGGTGCTCATGGCTACTCACCCTCAAGCAGTGCCATAAGCCACATAGAGCCCCCTCTCTCTCCTCATTGGCTCACTGGCTGTGATTGACAGCAGCGGCCCCTGTTGATGTCTCAGCCAATGTGTAGGAAGTGTCCCCAGTCAATAGAGGCTGTTGAGGACGTCACTGGATTGGTGAGGGCTTAGGTAAAGATTAGGGGGGGTTGGGAGGGCCACTTTACACAGAAGGTTTTTTAAGGTAAAAAACTTTGAGCCTTTAGAACAACTTTAGGATCAGCGGCTCCTACGGGGGTAGCACTACAAAGTGAACTTGTGTCTTGCCTACGCAGGGCAAAGCAACAGCCCACCTCTGCGTTTATTATTAAATTTAAAGCAGATCTTGTACTACAAGCCAGGTCTGCTTATTAACATTGTTTCTTCCCCGATGCCAAAGTGATGCAAAAAATAAAATAAATAAATAAAGAATAAAATAACTTTTAGGCTAGGTTTAGCTGTTAGTATTTTTAGAAAAGCGCCACACCCTAAATCTCAAAAGCAGCAAATTCCCACTTCAAAAAATCACAGATTAATTTTTTGCTTAAACAAATAAATATAAGGAATGCGCTAAATAAATAAATAGTACAAAATAAATGTGAAAAATAAAAAAAAATATAAAAAATGTTCATAAATCAATAAGTATTCAAAAGTCTTCAAATAATGTCCACACTGTGTTGAATCCACCACCAGAGAAAATTGGAACACTCACCAGAGCTCAATGCTGAATAAATCATTGGACTAACCACAAGCACTTTTTGGGACAATATATAGCAATCCAGTTCCTAAATGCAAAGCTGTACAATTGAACGACCTCTCCTCAGATGAATAACCACCATTCAAAGATATAGGTAATTTCCAGGGATAGAACTCATCTTTCTTTCATATATCTCCATACCATTGGGACCATGTTTAAAGGTAAGAGAAAAAGATCATTGTGCAGCGAGTTTCACAAAAGTACCAAATTTTAATGAATGAAATAAAACTCATAAGTAAGATGTCTATACCGACACCAGTGTTACAAGCATAGATTTAGGCAGCAGTATATGACTGTAACTCCGTTCACCATGGATCCCCTCCTTTCACATCCAAAGACTATCTCAGATGTCGGCATCCAGTAGGCCACGCCCTATAGGTTTAGCTGTTGCTTCTCTCTAAAAACCGATCTGCGTCCAGATTGCTTTTCAGAGGCGATTGACAAGCGGTGAGAAGGCAATGTGATGCATCCCCAATGCCTGTTTTAACCCCATTTTTGCCTAACAAATGCAACGCAACCACGTGCATTGCACATGGTTGTGGGTATTTGTGGCTCTTCCCTATTCACTTATTATTTATTTATTTATTTCAGGTACTTATATAGCGCCGTCAATTTACGCAGCGCTTTTACCTATATATTGTACATTCACATCAGTCCCTAAGCCTCAACTGCGTGTTTTTAAAGCCCCCCCCCCCAACTGCTATTCTAAACGAGACCTTAAGGAAGAAAGTAAAGCTGAACTCTGGGAATAAGACAAATTCTACCCTTGCTTATTTAGTCTAGTCTAGTGGGGGATAAAGTGTATTACTTACACTATCCCTTGGTCTGGCAGGTTCCAGCGATGTCCTCCAGCTCCAGGCTGTGGGTGATCCCTCAGTGTCATCACGCACAGGGCTATTAACCCAGCATTGTATGCGAAGAGAGACTGCTTAGTGAGGAAGCTGTGGAGGACTAGTTGCATGGATTGAGAAAGCCTGATGGAGCCAGGAATAAGGCACATACCCTGCACCCCTAGACTAAACAAGCATTTAATCCTTGCAGTGCATAGGGGATTCCACTTCAAGGTTAGATTTTGTCTCATTCCCAGAGTTTATACTTTTCCTTTCCTTGATTTCCATACTGCAGGGGGTAATGTCACCATCCTTCCAACAAGATCTCAGGGAATGCTGAATGACACAAATATCTTCACTAAAACACAATGAAGGATCATGTTCATGTGTGATATGGGCTATATAGCTTCCCGCTGAATCTTGGTGGAAGGATGATGACATCACCTATGGGAAAGGTAAGTATACTTCATACATTTTTCCTTACAGTTTTTCCTAAATTTTTAAATGTTATTTTTGCATCATGTTGGCATGGGGGGAGGGAAGCACAGAAAAGAAGTGAATCTTGGATTTTTGGTGAAAGGTCTGTTTTAGACCAGTGGTCTCCAAACTGCAGCCTGGGGCCAAATGTAGCCCTTTGCTTGCCACTGTCCGGCCCTTGGGCCACTATTATTTCCACTGACACCAACAATGTGGCACTATTTCTTCCATTGACACCAACGATGGGGCACTATTCCTCCCACTGACACCAATGATGAGGCACTATTCCTTCCACTGAGACCAACAATGGGGCACTATTCCTTCCACTGACACCAATGATGGGGCACTATTCCTTCCACTGACTCCAATGATGGGGCTTTATTCCTTTCATTGACACCAACAATGGGGCACTATTCCTTCCACTGAGACCAACAATGGGGCACTATTCCTTCCATTGACACCAATGATGGGGCAGGAATAATTTCCTTAATACCAAATATGGGATACTCCCACTGATGCCAGGACATTTTTTACTCCCAATAGCCACGGTCCAGCTCTCCTAAAGTCTGAAGCACAATAAACTGGCCCTTTTCTCAGAAAGTTTGAGACCCCTGTTTTAGACGATAGTTGCAGGGGGGGCTTCAGAAAGGGGATTGAACCTCACACATTGGCTTTAAAGTGATCCCAGCTGCCACTGGAATCGGACACTTGCAGGTGTGTTGAATACTAGGTCCCATGACACATGCTGCGGTTCCTCCTACTGGTCAATAGTGATGTACAGGTTGGTGGGAGGAAACAACACGCCACTGTGGAAAGCCAGGTATTTGATATGACATTGGATATTTGCAACAGCTTGAAATCTGCAAAACAGCCACATTTCTCAGTGTCTGTGTAAAGGGGCTTCCCAACCCCCTTATATTCACCTTGTTTGTGCTTCCTCGCCACTGCTTCCTCTGTAATAGTAAGTGCTGAAGTCAATGGGGTCTTTGACTAGGGGAACGGGGATGTCATGTCACAGTTTTCTGTACTAGTACAGTCACAAGGGACCAGGTCCCTAAACCCAGAAGCACATAGTAGAGCAAGGTTTCTCAATCAGGGGTCCATGGAACCCTAGGGTTTCTTCAGAGGTTTCTAGGGGTACCTTGAGCAAATTTCTTTCTGCCAGATAAGTTCCCACTGACACCATTGATCTTTTTAGCTATTTGTAAGGAGATACCTCTTCCCAATGACTCCAAGTGTAAGGAGAATTCTTCCCACTAACCATCACACTAATTTATCATGAGTTGTAGATATAGTCTTTTTTAGCAAGGGTTCCCTGAGACCGTAAAGTTATTTCTCCGTGTTGAAGAGATTGAGAAAGGCTGGGGTAGAGTGATGAAAGAAGGTGCAACCAGGGAGCTCAGGCAATGTGAGGATATGGGGGTCAAGGTGGCAGTGTCCCTCTAATTGGATTCTAGCTAAATTGTGCCTACAATGTGAGAATATGCATTATTGTCCAGAAATATGCTTTCCCTAGAAGCTAAATACCCCTACCAGTTCATCCGCAGGTCGTTGAAATATATATAGTGTAGAATTCACATAACAAATATGAACGGTTGTTTCTGAAAACTGTGAAAGTGAAAATCTGCAGCAATAATTGCGGGAAAAACAGATATCAAACACCATGAAACAAGTAGAACTTGCTACAGCCATAGAAAAATATTTGTATTATGAATTGGAAGACTGCCATCAGTATATAAGTATGTGAGATTTTCATTTTCAGTCCACTCGTATAGCCTTCCCGATGGCAGGATTTGTAATATTTCACTATGCTGACTCAAAGCATAAGTATTCTGTACAATGAATGTACTCAATGTGTAATGTGCGTTTGTATGTCTGTGTGCATGTCTATGTATGTGTTTAGGTATAGCTGTTATATTCTAAAACAAGGGTGCCCAACCTTTTGACTTTCTTGGGCCACATTGGAAGAAGAGGAATTGTCTTGGGCCACATATAAAATACACTAACAATAATAGCTGATGAGCAGAAAAAGTCGGGCAGTTAACGATCACTGATATAGATAATGTACCAATCTGACTAATAAAACTTCATTTTTTTTTTATATTTTTTATTATAAAAGTGAAAGAGGGCAACATAAAACTAGTGCGATATTTTTTATAAACTAACACAACAATGTCTGGCTCGGTGGATGGAGTAGCAATTCTCTATGAATTCTCAAAGTGCTCATCAGATAATTTGGTTCTAAGTTTATCGTTTGTGTGCTTCATTGTTGAAAATAGATTCTCACAAATATAGGTGATGCCAAAAACTGATGACATGAAAAAAGTGTGATTGTGAAGAGTGCAAGATTTTTGATCGGGAAGATAAAACTTATAAAAGTCCAGTAAAGAGACAGTGTCAAATTTTTCTTCAGCTGCATGTGTTTGTTAAAGCAGAGTTCCACTCACCCTGTCAAAAAATAAAAGTCAGCAGCTACAAAAACAGTAGCTGCTGACTTTTAAAAAACAGCCACTTACCTGTCCCTCGGTCCCGCGGTGTATTCCAGGAGGCCGGTATCTTCAGTGTGGGCACCCGGCTGTAACAGCTTGCGGCATCACAGCCGGGTACCCAGTGCGCATGTGTGAGTAGCGCTGCGCTTCATGAATGGTCCTGTAGTCTTCTGGGACCTGTCACGTGTCCCAAAAGACTAGGGAGGGAGGGAGGACACTTTCCGCTTCCTGTCGACTAGGTGTTCGGAGTGGAAGTGGGAGCGGGTACCTGTCAAATTTGGGCACCCGCCCCCCAAAGGTGCCAATCCTTAATGGGAAATGGGGGAGCAGCCCTTAAAGTGGAACTTCCCCTTTTGAGTGGAGCTCCGCTTTAAGTGTAAACTAATTTTTACAAAACAATCCAAAAAAAACACAACATTTTCAAGGAAGTTCACAATTTTGTGTTGGGATGCATAGCCACCTTGGACTGCACGTGGCCCATGGGCCGCAGATTGTGCACTCCTGTTCTAAAACATTATTCCAGTGTAATTATAAAGCAGAGTATTTTTTTACATAAGAGATATGGACAGCCAATGAAAATGCTAGTTGCCTGACAGTCTCTGGCTTCAGTACATTGAGCCACTAACCCAGAAAATGTATACAGCTGGGGAAACCACAGACAGAAAAGGCAAAACTCCTCCTGGTACTGAGAAAATTTAAAATAACGCTCCCCCCCCCCCCCCCATAAAAAGACTGTTTATAATTACCATCCCATCTCCTGTTCTTCAAGTCTTTCCTCTCTTGCAAAGAAAAACTGCAGGCAGAGTCTTCCAATCTTCTCAACCCATGGGTTTTGTTTCACCTGTGGCCTCCTTATCAATACAGTACACTGGACACTGTAGAGGACACCATAGTGATGTAGGGATCAGTGATGAAACCTGCAAGTGTGGGACAGGTAAGTAACAACAGTTTCCTTTTTTTAAAACAGTCTCTTTAATGTATTCTTATAATAATATTTTATAGGGATGGGATTTGGGTCTGGGAAGTGATTTTCAAACCAGAGACCCTGTTTCAAAAATGAGTTTTTCCAAGAATGGTGCCACTTACCCCTTATCACCCACAATTCAGTAGGGTATATGAGAGGTTAATTTGCACCCTGATACAACTGCTGAGAGGCTTAACATTCTTCATCAGGTTGCTCACCTTACCATGTTATGCTTGGCCCTACTCTCAGGGATCCATGGACCTATTGGCAACACTACACCTGGAAGACGTTGAACAAACTCTGACTTCCTGCATTTAGGAGTACAACATGGTGCCTGTCTGAATGCCAACAGTGTATTAAAGACCAGTAATGGGTAAAGCAAGAAGAGCATCAGATTATGACCTTCAAGCTGAGGATAAAGTGCTAGACTGACATAAAGGCTCACACCAGCAGGGACAATTGCAAACTCTGTGGGAAGAAGTCCCTGGAATTGTCCCACAACAGGCCAGTCTATAGTATCCAGTGAGAAGGAACCTGAGAAAAAACAAAATACCTACAACATAAACTGTTCAAACACACAGAAAAAGGCTCATAAATGGGTATTCGCAAAGCCTGTTCACGTTTGTGTTCTCCAAACACCTCTGACACCAAAGGTTCAGTGGTGACTGCCTTGTGCTCTCCCACCATTATCTCCAAGACTTCCAGGAGAAACCATGGATCCTGACATAATAGTCAACCAGTTCAGATCACTGCTTCTAATGAACCACTATCCAATGACGACCCTGAAGACAAAGACCTGTCCCCTCATGCCCCAGAATATGGAATTGAGACTTACCCCCTTGGCCTCTGAGATACTTAATTATCTGAATACTTAATAGGAGACCTCTTGTACACTTTGCACAGGATGAGCTTGAAGGGTCTGCATACTAGCCAGGGACAACAAGTGGGGTAGAGTGTCCATTTACTCACCACGTTCTAATACAAGTGCAGGTCTCTTTAACTTCATTTTTAACAACTCCCTGGACAAGGTCAGAGAGTATAAATTCCTCAGCTTTATCCTGCAACAGCTCAGAGGCCACAACAGATACAAGAAAGGTAGCTGGGCAAGTGATTTGCAGCCAGGTGAAAGGACCTGCACTGTCAGAACAGGTGTGCAGGCAGCTGGGCCGGAGCCTAATAGCATTCAGCTTCCCAAGAAGACCCATATACTAGGGGGAGCTTCTCCTCAATTTCTACAAGAGTATTCCATGCTCCACTGGGGTGGTCCTTTAAGGATTTAGGGTTTGGATCACTACATCTGTTCACCTGTGTCACCAGAACTTCCCTGGAGTTTCCTGTGACGGACCCTGTCTATGAGTATAACCACAACTAGCTGTGTTCTGAACTGATTTACCGAAGTAGTCCACTTAGCACCTGATTAGTAATCCACAAGTTACAGTTACTCTTCATCTGATCCTTCAACCAATTACCTATTCTATTAAACACTTTTTTTGTGTGGACAAAATTGACCCATGGCACCATAGCTGGAAGGCAGCCACAAGAGGTAAATGTAGAGACACAAAGCACAGGAAGGCATATTTAAAAAAACAAATTAAGCCACTGTCGTCTGGTGTGTAAAAAAAAAGGCCATTAGCATCACATGTTTTTTTCCAGGTATACCATCACAGTTTGATGGCAGTACCAGTAGACATGCAGCTGTCTTTCCAAAAAGAATTATAGCTTCAGCACTTTTTAAATGCTATGTTTTTTTTGGTCAAGGGAAAGAGAAGATGAAGTGGTGCCAGGAGGCCACTATTTGATGATTGATAGCATTATTACATCCTACATGGGCTTAAGCAGAAGTGCCAACAAAGAGGAAAGTCTCCTTGAAGTTAGTCCCTAAACAAGGTCTGAAAATAATGAGGAGGATAGGGTAGAGGTGACAGAGCTGGAAGTGTTTACCACAAAATGTGGTAGCCCCAAAAAGTTCAGGGGTCCTTGCTGCTTCCTTTCCAGCTACTGAAATGTTCACCTAGCATGTGCTTAGCTCTCCCAGATGTCCAAGTGAAATCTCAGAAGCGCTGAAGCTGACACTAAGATATTTTTTTTTTGTTTTTCAGTGCCCCCCTCTTATCTCCTGATAAGACATATCCTGTGGAGACACTGCACATGGTGTGTATTGCTAGAGAGGGGTGTTTTTATTTCCTTTGGAGAATGCATGTGATCAGCACAGGGCCAATCAGCACTGCCCAGACAAAGGTCAGGGGTTCTGCATCCTCCTGAGATCCTCAGGTACAAGCCAGTTACAGCAGACTGAGGCAGTCCATAAGTAACAGAAACTGAGCAAAGTCCTATGCAGTAGCAACAATTGGATCAGCTCTTCAGAACACCTGCCAGTGTTACCTTTTCTCAGACCCACACTGACTATAAAGCACCAGAGGGGTAGCAAAGAACACAGAGTCCCCAAGATCTCTCAGTGTCTTTACTCACAAGGCCTGAGGACAGAATGGTGGCCTCCTTCCAATCTTCCAAGTGACACTCTCCAGTGATACCAGACAGATCTTTTGCACACATCTCCCCTCAGTCAGCGTACTGAAGAACCAGGGTCTTTCTCTCTCTTACTTCAGGCCCTGAGGTGACCCACCTGAGACCACATGGGAGCAGGTGCCAGGTGAGGCAAGCCTGCCTCCAGCCTCGCTTGGTGCAATCCTCTCCAGGAAAGACCCTGAGACTATGTGCTGACAGAAGATAAATACCGCTCACAGCATGCAATGGGGCGTCCTCCCCTGCAGTTGACCAGGGCTACATCCATATTCATGCTGTCTATTTGCCTAGTTCCCTCCCAGGTTCTGATAGGCTCTAGTTGCTTTCAGAAGGCAGGAGGAACTTGAGACAAACTCAAACAGCACCAAAGCATCACGAGCAGACCTTACTAATCCATCTCAGCTCTTTGTTAAGCAGAGAGCCCAATTAGATTTTCCTGACAGCCTCTGTTAAGCAGAGAAACACAGCTGCAGGCGTACCTCGGTTTCCGAATGCCTCGGTTAACGTAATTTTTAGTTTACAAATGAAAATCCTTTGAAAATAACGCCTTGGTTTATAATTTTTTTTCGCAATACGAACTGATTAATTGGTTTTCAGTACATTTATGATTTTTTTTTTTTAATCATGTTCCTGTACAGTACTATGCCTTTAAAGTGCACTTTATAAAGAGGTTTGAACAGATAAGACTTTTTTTTTTTTTTTACTTTTTTCTGACCTCCGGAATGGATTAATTGGTTTTCAATGCATTTACAAATTTTTTTTTAATCATGTCCCTTTATGCCTTTAAAGTGCTCTTTATAAAGAGTTTTGAACAGATAAAACTTTTTTTGACTTTTTTCTGACCTCCGGAACAGATTAATTGGTTTTCAATGCATTTACAAATTAATTTTTAATCATATCCCTGTACAGTATTTATGTCTTTAAAGTGCACTTTATAAAGAGTTTTGAACAGATAAAAGACTTTTTGTTTACTTTTTTCTGACCTCCGGAACGGATTAATTGGTTTTCAATGCATTCCTATGGGAAACTGCATTTTGGTTTATAAATTTTTCGCAATACGAAAAGTCCCGCAGAACGCATTAAATTCGTAAAGCGAGGTACGCCTGTATATTGTCCTAACTGTATAAATTCTAGCACTTATCTAGGACTGTGCTACACCTGTATCATGGAGAGTTGGAGACACCCCTGTATTAAAGTGCAACTTAACATCTTTAAATATAGAAATGCCAAAAGGTAAAGTTTTTTTTAAGTTGGAGCCAGGTGCTGGAACGATCTAACTCAAGTACCTAGCACCCAATGGTGACCACAAAGATGTAGATGATGTCAGCTGCCATTGACCAAACAGCAGGGGGAACGTGGATGTCTCATCGATAGAGAAGGTCATAGTAGCAGGTAAATGTGCTACGTATGCTGAACCCCTTGAATCTGCAAATAGTAACATTCCCCTTTAAGTGCCGGTCCATACTTATGCTGTGCAGGATTCACAGTGATTCCTGTGCGATTCCTGCACTGCACCGCATGACAATCACACTCCGTTCATGCGAACCGTTCCGAGTGTCTATGTTAAGTTAATGACACCCCAAAAACAGTTCACAAAACACAGTGTGATTGGCTGAATCAGATCACATATCTGTGAACACCCGTGCGATCCCAATCCAGTGCACCTTTCATGCAGGTGCAGTGCCATTTGAGCCATACAAAATTAATGTCTCAAATAGCACTGCAAAGAATTGCATGTGAT